TTTACAGTGGAGATTAACTGTTCCATTGAAATTTTTTTTGAAGGGAATGTAACAATTGTGAGACTAATATCTTCCTATTAGCTACAAATAAAAATTGAAACAGCATGTACTTGTACTGAATATGCCTAGTAATGGACTTTGAGTGAACTTGTGTGATTTGACTCTGGGGAACGACTTAATAGAATGTGGACACGAAACAGTAGCATGTTGCATGATTGAGAATGTGTTATTATTAACATGGGTCACAGCAAATCAGGTGATACATTGTGTAAAAGTGAGACAATAATATGAAAGCAAGTGTGTATATGTGAGCAATAAGTAATTTCCATAATTAATTAAAAAGAGAGAGAATGGATTTTTATCTATGTCCATAAACCGGAGGGGGGGAAAAGGGAAAGCAAAGCTCATTTATGCAGTCTGCTAATGTACTCTCTAAAAATTTCAGAAACTTCATCAAACGATTAACTAGAAAATCCTCATCTCATTGGAACACTAAAATTGTTCATCATCCCAGACAAAGTGATGGCCACAACTGCGGACCACTCATCTTAAAGGTATTGAATACCAAATTGCCATTATTATTTGTTATGTTTGTGTAATTATCCAGGGTGAAAGTAAATGCCGGAGATTACCAGTGGGCACTGCACCAGCGTCCTTGCCAAGGTGGGTGGGGTGGGCTTGTGGCCCCCAGAAGGGATGGGGTCTCCAGCGGAAGGTGCGGTGCTGGGAGGCCAGATTCCACCAGCCAGCCCTTCCTCACAGCTGCTGCTGCAGTGGCCAGGAGAACCAGGCCCTTGTAAATCGCCGGAACCCAGGGCACATTTTGCCCTGCCAGGAGCATCCAACAGCATTGCCGGACCCTATGGCAGGGCCACTGATGCGGGGGGGTGGGGGAGGGTGCTAAAGGGGGCAGCGACATTAAAGCATAAAGCACTACCACAGCGGAAGTGTAATGTCAGCCATGTAAGGGGTGGTACAAGTGGCTGGGTCTTACCGGTATGCTGAACCGGCCCACTTTCACCTCTGGTAATTATGATGTTTATTCTAAATATCAGTGTTGTTAGTTTGCAGAAGCGTATTTGCAGCACAAAGACATCAGTATGGTAGAAACAACACAAGAGGCTAATACTGCCTTTAGAAGACATATAGCAATTCTTCTAATGAAGGAGTCAGGTAATTACTTTCTACCACGTACTGTTGTCTCATTAGGCACATGTGAAGATAACATGAAGAGTGGAATTATGTCACATAGCAGACAGTTATCTTAATACCCCTAAAGTGGGATATCTCACAGGTTTGGTTCTGTAATGGTGACTATGAACCAATAATATCCTTAAGTCCACAAAAATTTGAATCAGGTGAATGATGATTGCTATTGATCGGCCAGCTAAATGAAATTGGCATTTTTAGATACAGGGGCAGTAAACTAAAAATTTGAGAAAAAATGAGTCACAAAAAAGGAAAAGATACGTTCAAACCATTGACTGGATTAAAATATTGACATTAATTAATAAATGAAGATTTGCATTTTCCGTTTTGGTCATAATGTATTCATCATTTCATAACGATATATATATTTTTAAGAAAACGTGGAAGACTACTGCATATACTGCAACCTCGTCAACTGTGAAAAGGAAAGTGAGGATTGCACGATGGTAAGAAACATAGAATTATATGAGAAATAAATGCCATAAACTGCCTAAGGATCATGATTCTTGTAAAAAATCCACATCAGTAAACATTTTCTTCATGCTGATAGGCATACATACGTTAGGTAATGCTGACATGTGGAAGGAATAGCATGAGTGAATGAAAAGTATGTGTAATATTATAACTTCTTTGATTT